GTCACAAAGTATGACTTTTAACTAATTTTAACAGGACGTCAGAAAGTACAATTCTGCTAAAATGAGAGCAATACAACACACACAACCTTGCTTGCGGTTTTTACAAGAGCTAAATGAACTGGACTCAAAATGTTAGACGTTAGCTGTTTTTACTAAATTGCACTTGAAATCGCTTCGCTACATTTTTGAACATTAATATATAAATCCGTTTCATTTGATTTTTATAAGTACAAAATGATTATGTGATATAAGCTATACCGCATGCAGCCAAACGGTATAAAGAAATTTTTTCGTAACTTGAAATTGTGTCAAAACATAGGAAATATTATTTGAATATATTACGCAAATATACGAAAACGTAACTGCTTTGAATAAATGTTACATCAAAATATTTAAATGTTTTGGTTTTTCGAAAACGGCCATAATGTTGCAACAATTCATATGGAATCAAAACGCCTGCGAAATTTAAAAGTATAAATTTTAAAATTTAAATTTTTTATTTGTAGCCGTTACCAAGACGTGTCTTCTGACACAAGGTATTTGTTTTTATGTCGCTATTCTTTCAGTTTAGTTAATTAATGTTATCAAATAAGTTACAATAAAAATAAATATTTCCAAGATTAGTTAAAAGTACACAGTAGCATAATGGTTCAGGGTACGGTCGCAAATTTAAAAGTCGTGAATCTGAATTTGCTGTTAGAGTATTGTCATAAGCCGCTGTCATCATTAGCAGCTGTTTAGTTGCTTAACTTATTAGTAATGTAACAAAAATATTAAAAGTAAAGTAACTACTTTTATTAACATAATACACTGAAGTTTAAGACTTCACCGGATATATTACTGTGAAAATGCGTTAATTCGCATGTACGCTTTTTTAAAACAACTTACTCGTACTTCAAGCAGAATTATAGCTCCGGCAAACCTTCAGACTAACAACCATCGTTGCAGTAGACAAGATAGTTTAACCAGAAAGGTAATGTAATAATCTTAATTTTTTTTATAGAATAAGGGTGACAAACGAGCACGAAGTCCACCTGATTGTAAGTGGTTGCTGTGGCCCATAGACATCTACATCTATCTTCGTATGCGAATCAAAATGCAGATGCGTTGTCACCCGTGAGGACGAAGATGGAATGCCTATTTTCCAGTAAAATGGGTTTCCGGTTCTCTACACTCACCATACGAAACACAGCAGCATTAAGCTGCTATTTTACGCTGGTATTCTGTGAGAGCGTGATCCTTCCCCGGTCGAGCCGACCCATTCGTGCTACAACTATACTATTATAATAGCTGCAGCATGGCTCTACCACGTGACAATAGAAAGTGAAAATAGAATAGATTATATATTTAATTGAATAAAAATATATAATCTATTCTATTGACTAAGCCACACGAGCGTCAAAAAATAATATGTTGGTAGTGCAAGTGCAAGCTTACTTTTTTGGCCAATTATAGGTTGCAGACCAGTTGTACAGCTGAAAGTACTGTCATAATCACTTAATTATCATACAAGAGTATTTTTTTGAAACAAATTCTGCGCTTTCTTTTTTTCATTATAATATATTTATCTTTTCATACGTAGATATATATCTTTAGGAGAGATTCTCGGAATAAAAATATATTTATTATAGGATAAGGTTAACAGAGGAGCACAGAGTCCACAGAGTAAGTAGCATCGATTTTTGCACCTTATATAAATACCTATATCTATCCTTGATTAAAAATTTTCCACACAAAAACTTTTAAACATTTAAATGAAAACATTTTATGGCACTCTTGGCCTTCCCGGAACAGGATTATTCGCAATTTAAAAAAAATCTAATTGTTTCCTCAAAATTGGCCTTATGATCACACGCGATATCTATTTAAATGATTTAGCGTTATTAAACACGCAAAAGTTATTGTCTAATTATCCAAGTTCTAAGTGATTAATGTTTGTAATTGAATTTTTTTGCACTCTTTTTATAGAGAACAAACTTTTCTTTCATATATATTTTAATAATGTTTATTTCGTTAATAGTAGTTATTAATTAAGTCATAAAGCTATGACGTTACATTTGAGAAATTTCGCTAGTCTCCTACGTGGGACTAGTCAAAAATAGGCGTATTATTAAAATGAGTTTGCGCTCAGGTAATCAACTTTTTGTTTTAATCTGGTTTGATGTAATTGTTATTCGGCGCAATACTTGAAGGGGAAAGTTTGTGCATAACCGTAGGAAACTAGGAGCGGCGATCTGTAAACCTCATCAGTGGCCTTGTGGTAGCGGCGTTGGCGAGTTTGGGCTCCACGGCAATTTTTATGAAAGAAAAGTGCTGGTAGCTTTTGACGTCACGGTTCTCTGACAACGTATCCGAAGGGCTATTAATGTATATATCATATTATTTATCCATTTGCTGTAGATTGTATCGTTCTTTAGAGTTCACGTGCGGTCAAGTTCAAAAAGAACTGTATCCGCGTTTTGTCGTCGCTGCCATTCAAGGAGGAAACGCAGCATTCTTGGCACTATACGATGGGGAGTAGGACTGTATGATATAGTTTTAGTTGTTCATAATAGTACAATAAAATTGTACATTTTTGTTATAATTTTTGTTTCCTGAATAAAAACATTACTTTCAATTGCTAGCTAAGCATTTTTAGTATATGTAAGCAGTCGTCAACTGAGAACCGGTAATCATCCCACGACGAATATTTTTACTAGATACTACATTTTTATTTGATCCTAATATATTATTTATCTGCTGACACTTCGGACGCACTGGAGTAGAATTTTTGTTACTCCATAACCCTCTAAAAATGAGAGGAAGCCAATGACCAGCATGGACAAATATAGGCAAGTAAGAAAAACTGCTTACGCATGCGTTTCAGACTGCCCTAACAATCAATTTCTCATTTGTAACTCATAACTGCATGCTTATTTTGTATTGGTATACTTCTTTTGGGGCGTTTGGGAAAAATTATGAGAGTGAATTTTAACGATGCGCGCGCACACTGACACCTCAAAGCGACATTTGACATCGAGAAACTGTCTCTCAAGTTTTCATGGGGACTGATAACTATATTAAAGGTAGTTATTTTTAGTTATTTTGTTTTGTTACGCTAAAGAAGTATAACTTCCTACGTGTGTACATACACACACAGACACACACACACACACACACACACACACACACACACACACACACACACACACACACACACACACACTTTTTTTTCTACACAATTGATTTTAATTAAAGTTTATCAGGTATTCTTTCAGCTTATCAAAGTCTATTACTGAACGCAGGCTTCCTTCATAGATTGCCTATACTTGCTATAGTTGCCACGCTTCACGTAAGATAAATGAGGTATTATTATATTCATTATGCAATTAGGGGCCAAATAAAATTGGTTTAACGACTATGTCATTATTTCTTTTCGAGATATTATGAAAGACGAAAAATGTTTACTAAATGCAAACATAAAAAAAGATATTTTTTTTTAAGATTTAATTGAAAGATAAAATTGTTCCACAATTTTAATACTGAAAAGGTACAATACGGTTATGAGATAATAACTGAAAAAATATATAATAAAACCTTTGAATGGAATATTACAATTTTAACCTTGATTAGATGACCCTTTATCAAGGGAACGTTGTTTTACTTAGTAATAATTAATAAAGAAATATTATTCAATGGTATATTATTAAAATAGCGAATCTTTCTTATTAATTAAATGGCGGTGTTACAATTACAATGCATTTAATTTTTATTTATACGCTAAAATTAAGCAGCGTAGTTAATTACGTTGATACCGATTATTTTTTTACTTTTTTTTATAGAATAAAGGTGACAGAAGAGTACAGAGTCCACCTGATGGTAGCTGTGGTTCATAGATATCTACATCAATCCTCGCTTAAGAATCAAAATTCCGATGAGTTGTCACTTCTAACGAGGAAGGAACTAAGGAACACAGCAGATTCAGGTTGCTACTTTACGCTGGTGTTCTGTGAGAGCATGGTTCTTCCCCGGTTGAGCTGATTCCATATTAAATAGCTGTACGTATATCTTCAAACAAATTGAATTAAAATATATACGGCGTGACTTTACTGTTTAAGGCTTTTTTATAGTAGATACAAACATGTCTAAATAATTAAAAATTAATATTCAATAGTGCTGTAAGAACCCAGCATATTAGCAACTTTTTGATAGAGTGCTAAGACATTGTAAATGTTTTTTCGTCATTTACGAGTGATAGAAGCTAAAAGTTAATTAGTTTTTTTTTTTACTTTAGTTTTAAACTTCCGATTTTTGTATATTATTATATGATGTACTTTTAAAAAATTTTAATTGGAATATCGTCAGAGCAAAGTTAAATAGTGTTTGTATTTAATAGTAGTTATAGGGATTGTGCTTTCATACAAAGAACCCTCGTTAATTGTGTTCTGTATATACATCATAATAATATGTCACAGCAACATAGCTGCTTAAGTTTTGGTCAAATTAAATAAATGTTTAGTGTTATTGTATTCCTTCGATAAAGTGTCTTTTGACAAGAGCTTAATGCGAAAAAGTGATGCATGTGCCCTACGTATAAATAGGGGTGCTGTGGAAATCAGTAAATAGGTATTTAGCGATTCAATGTAGTACTTTTATCAATTGGGAGTTCAAAATTTGTTATTTCATGTCATTTCGATATAGTTCAAACGAGGTTAAATAGTAATTTGAAAATTTTTTTTTGAAATATTGCTCATACAGATAATAGTACCTAGTAGCATTTAAGCCTTAGTAAATATTTGAGACTATCCACAAAGCGAAATCCTTCGTTACGCGTGTCCTGTAACGCACTTGGCCATTTTTTATACTATAGTGTAAGAACGGACGCGCCCATATCACTTATTTAGTTGAATTCGTCGCAAATATGCTAATGTGACACAATTTAAGTGATTTATAAGATTTTATAATATTTTTATGTATCATATTATTTTAATTATAATTACATAAATACGTAAATTGTTTACCTTTCTTCCGTTTGGGCATTACTCTAACACCTAAGGCCTGTTCAGTCACTAGGCACAAGGACAGAGCCAGTAAACAGTATCTCGCACTGCACCCCATGTTGTCACACAAAGTTCGTAGCCTCTGTCGTATTTTGCTATGAAGGCACTGAAATACCGCGCATTTGCTCGGCGACACGGGTTAACGGGACGCGTTTAATCCGTATAGTTTGGCGTGGTTGCACGCGCGTAAACGCACCCACTAACAATACTGAACGACAGCCGGTGCACGCTGAGCGAGTGCACGACGAACGACTGAACCGCCCGACTACCCTATATTTTGACTTATGGCAATTTGGCAGTGCGAATCCCACTTGTATATAAAACCTTTCGCCGGCTCGGAGCGGGCGGTCATTGGTCGTGCGGTGGCTGCACACAGCGCGAAGGTGAAGGGAGCTGGAAGTGGCAGCCCCACCACGTGCCGGCGGCGGGGGGGGGGGGGCAACAATCCAGGGTCGGCAGACACTTTTGCTATCGTCGGTCGGTCCGATTGTCAGAGTTGTCGTACTCCACTGTTCCGCTGTAACCTAGTTATTACGTCACGCGCTCAGTGCACGGTATAATTGACGCTCTCATTAATCGGTGTTATTAGTAATTTTCACTTGTTATTTCATATCACTTGCTCTTTACAGTACAAAAAGAACTGAAACATTTGCTATTAAATTTTAATTAAAAATAGTTGAAAATCACTAAATAGTATAAAACGAATTCGATCATACACTTCATTTGGAAAACGGAATAGGAAATAGGAAAAAGAGTCCAACCAAACTGCTTCTCCGTATAGAAATTTGGATAGGTACACCCTCTTTTTAATTTCTATGGCACTGCTCGTCCAGCTGTGATCAGGTCTGAACGCTGTATACAGAGCCAGTAGGTATTCCATCTAAGTGCAACTAGAGGTGGCAACGCTCCTGTAGCCTTATTTGTCTGAAGTTAGCTGCAGGTGTTCAAGGTCTACAGTACCCACTAACCATCAGGTGGACTGTAAGTTCGTATGTCACGTCACTTTACGTGGTAGAGCCGTGCTGCAGCTATATTAGTAGTATAGTTGTAGCACGAATGGGTCAGCTCGACAGGGGAAGGACCACGCTCTCACAGAATACCAGCGTAAAATAGCAGCTTGACACTGCTGTGTTTCGTATGGTGAGTGTAGAGAACCGGAGACCCATTTTACTGGAAAAGGGGCATTCCATCTTAGTCCTCACGGGTGACGACGCAACTTCATTTTGATTCTTTATTGAGGATAAATGTAGATGTCTATGGGCCGTAGCAACCACTTACCATCAGGTGGACTGTGTGCTCGTTTGTCACCCTATCCTATATAGAAAAAAACTTAAAATTTTATAAATAGCGGATGGATTTCGAAAAGTTTTTCACTACATTTTGAAGAAATTCAGAGTAAGGTTTTCATGTATAATATACATATATATTATTTAATTATGTAAGGTTAGTAGTTAATTTTAATTTTTGGGATAAAGTCATAAAATATTCTTTTTTTATTCTTTTTAAAAAAAAACGCTACTTTGCGCTTATAATTAGATAGTTTTTTTTTAGAATAAGCGTAACAAACGAGCACACAGTCCACCTGATGGTAAGTGGTTGCTGTGACCCATAGACATCTACATCTATCCTCAATAAAGAATCAAAATACAGATGCGTCGCTACCCGTGAGGACTAAGATTATATAGTAATATCTTCTTAGATTATCTTCTCTGGTTGAGCCGACCCATTCGTGCCACAACTATACTACTAACATAGCTGCAGCGTGGCTCTACCACGTACAGAACCAGTTTAAATACTAACGCCATAATCTTGTCCATATGACAACAAATATACTTTTTTAACTGGTAACGATATCTCTATATTCTTTATTAATAGATAATAGACATGATAAGTGATAACACATCTACATTTTATTCTTATTTTTATTTCTATAAAAATAAAAATGTGGATAGATTTGCAGTCCATGGACCACAGCATCCATTATCCATCAGGTGGATTGTGTGCTCATTTCACCCTTGTTTTAAAATAATTAAAAATAAACTAAAAACGGGTCAGGCGTCCGTTAAGGTTCAATGTTGGGACCACTCTTTTTCCTGATAGTGGTCAATGACCTCGCTTCGGTATACAATACGACTAGATGTCTGTTATAATATGCAAGATGATTTAATGTTATATTGTGAAATTAAATCGCAGGCTGATTGTGTCGCTATACAAAGGCATCTTGATTCGTTGGGGCGAGGTTAACAAGATGGAATTTAATATAACAAAATGCTCAGTAATGATTTTCGCAGGTAAGAAGCGTCCAATCTATTTCCTTTATAATATGGGTAGAGAACTCTTGCCTATAACTTACCATGTAATTAAAATATAATTTTACGTATCCAGTACGAGAGATAGCCATTTTCTTTTTATTTTCTTTTTAAACATATTTATGATAATGATGTAAAAAGCTACTAGCTAAATTATATTTTAAGTAATGAATACTTAAAATATAATTTTACGATCAATTAATTTCGAAAATTTAGTTGTAACTATGTAGTTATTATGTTATTATTGTTATTACAGCCCTTTAGAAGTACGTTGCTGAACATAGGCTTCCCGCGCGAATTGCCAAAAACACGCTCCTGAACTACTTGGCTTACATTGACTTCCTGTATTTCTAACCAGGTCGGCATTCAACTAATGGGTGACTGCCCTACACTCAGGCTACCGGTACGAGGCTGACACCCGAGAATCTTTCTTTCCCATAGGATGTCGGTTCTTCGAGTTATATGGCCGTCAAACTGCCACTTCCACTTTCTGATCCGCTAGGCGATGTTGGTAATCCTGGTTCTAATACGTATATCTTTATTACGAATTCTATCACGTAGAGAAATTCCGAGCATTGCCCTTTCCACAGCTCGCTGAGCGACCTTGAGCTTCCTCATAAGGTCAGTAGTTGAGTGCTACGCCTCAAATCCATGTGTCATCATTGATAACACGCACTGGTTAAACACACTAAAATGTAGTGACAGACAATTATTACTTTATAGATACATAATATATATATATATTTAATTTATATATTAATTTAATTTTCCTTTGAATTCGGAAATGTTAAAACAGTAATTTGATTTTTTTGTCATAAAATGTATAAGATATAACCACTAACATCCTCTAAAACAGGTGTTTTTATAGAAGTCTCGTTACGTTCTCAAAATTTCATTACAATATTAGTGTTATTGCCATAAATAATAAGTTTATTCCACAATGTAACGCGAAAGTGCTCATGTAATGTTGCGCGAGCAGGTGTGTCCGTTAAATCATCATGATTTTGCTAAAAAAAAAATTAAGTTTCACACATTAGCGTTTCACGCGGTGATTTTACAAATTAAGACGTAGAAAACTAAAATAGTTGTAACTCTTTCATATTTCTAAACTAGCTGTTCCCCGCGACTTCGCTCGCGTGTTAGGGTTTTTATGTTTTTGCGCGGAAATCTTCTAATTCTTTTTCTAAAATAAAAGTAGCCTAAGTTACTCTTTATGAAATCAGCTATCTGCCAGTGAAAGTCCCGTCAAAATCGGGTCAGCCGTTTCGGAGATTAGCGGGAACAAACAGACACACAGACAGACAGGCAGACAAAAATTTTAAAAATTGTATTTTAGTTATAAGTAGTAATTGCTTTCATAAATTAGCATTTAGTAAAAAACTGTAATTTTGACATTACAAACAGACACTTCAATTTTATTTATTTGTATAGATAACGTTAAGATACTACCGTCCATGAAAGTTTTACATTAAAAACTCTACTAAGTTTAAGATAGACAAAAGCTAATTTTTTTTAAAAGCCCTTCTTTTTCATCAGACCATTATCAGACATATATGATCGATGCACTTGGCATGCGAGTTGTCGGTCACAGCACCAGAGATGTTTCGCATCTTTGATCGGAATTTTTTTTTAAATACAGGATAGGGTGACAAACGAGCGCACAGTCCACCTGATGTCAAGTGTTTGCTGTGGCCCATAGACGTCTACATCTATCCTCGTTTGCGAATCAAAATGCAGCGTTGTCACCCGTGAGGACTAAGATGGAACGCATCTTTTTCAGTAAATAGGGTTCCCGGTTTTCTACGCTCACCATACGAAACACAGCAGCGTTAAGCTGCTATTTTACGCTGGTATTCTGTGAGAGCGTGGTGCTTCCCAGGTTGAGCTGACCTATTTGTGCTATAACTATACTACTAATATAGCTGCAGCATGGCTCTACCACGATTAGTACAAGAATAATAAAATGTTAAGTAACAAAAACAGTGCCCATTTCCTTCCTTTTCGATATTACAAAGAAACCTGGTGGCCTTTTAGAAAATAGTTTTAGTTTTATGAATGACATATGAGTAAGCTTTACGTATACGCGAACAAAGTCGCAGTATTAGCTTGATAAAAAAAAATTGAAAATGAATATCATGTTACGTCCTCTGGAAAAAACCACCAGTAGGTTAAGGATACAGCTTTCTTCTTATCAATAAAATAATATCTCATGTAAATGTCAACATACCTTTAAGGATAAACAAATATTTTGTTTAGTTCTTGACTATTTTTGAAATTTTCTTATCTCGAACACATTTAGTTCCTATACAATAAACACTTATTCTGTTTACCATCAGTTGTTTGGTTGAGACTGATTAGGTCGTTAATATTGCCTTAATTCTTATAATATAATTTTAAATTTATATAGTAGATTTTTATAATACGTTTTGTCTTACATCCTAAATATTATAGCCCCTTGTAATTTTTGTTTCATTTTTATCACTCGGCAGATTATTTTCTGTTCTATTACTCTCTCAAACATTAAAGGAGACCTACGCTAAGCAGTGGGACGTATACAAGTTGTAACAATTCTTTTATAAGTTGTGGGTATACTGCGATGGGAGGCAATGAAATTTATTTCTTTGTTCATTATTGTGATCACCTTGGGTCTAAAATGGACGAACTTCATGCCTTATGGCATTATCTGCTAGTTAATCCTGAGAGAATAAGAAAAGTGTTGGCAGATTCAGACTTTGACAATAAGAAAAAA